GAAATTTTTGTTTTTTTTTTTTTTTCTCTTAAAGAGGAATGAATTTAATTAAAAACAAATGTGATAGAATGGATGAAAACTGAAATAATGTGCAAAATAATGTTCAAAAAAAAAAAAGGAGAATAAAAGGAAATTCTCTTTTTTCAATTCGACAATGTATAATATTAGTTTAAAAAGAGTATAAATCTGCCATTTTAAAATAATATTTTTTATACATATTAACATAATTGAATTAACGCTTAATTTTCATCACTCATTGGTATCTTCAAAAATCCTTTGAAATTTACTAAACAACTTTACAATAGTTCAAAGATAGCAATAAAGTTTAAAGAAGTAAATTTTCAAAGGATGCTAAAAAGTTTATCAAAGTCTTTTATGGAACGAAAAATAGTGAAAAAACTAAGACAAATCTTTATAAATAAAATGGGTCACTTAAATAAAAACAAGAGAAGGTTTATTCTTATTTTTTTTTTAAATTAATCAATTATGAATCATTCGCAACAAATAAATTTATGAAATATTACAAAAATTATTTTACATTTTAAATCAATAATTTGAGAAATTTCTTAAACAGACAAATACAAAAGAGCAATACGTATGCGAAACAACAAAAAAGAAAAAGAAAAGTTAACAAACATTGCCAAATAAATTATAAAAGACTAAAGATCGTACTAAAAGTCTCAAACATTTCCATCAAAAATAATCAGTGCTATCAGTGCATTCATAACAATGAAAACAAACTTTTATCCATAAATTTAATTTTTATGCAAATTTCACTATGGCAATGACTCTATTGTGTATCTATCATAACAGTATGACAGAGCGATTTAGATAATGAAATTGAATTTCAATCCAAATTTAAATATTAAATTTTGTAATTTAGATTAGAACTGCATTCAATATATAATTAAATTGGATGTTTAGTAAAAACAACTTCGCTTTGTTTCTTTTTTTGTTAAAAAGTTTCAAAAGTAAATTGGGTTAATCGCTCATTAGCAATAACATTAATTTAATTAAACAATTATAGAACTTTTGAAATTTTTATCTCCAACCAAATATAATTAATTGTATTTCCATCAAATTTTAGTCAGTGATAATGAAGGGATAATTTTGCAACTTTTTTCTTTTTCTTTGAATTATGATTCATTTTTTATGTTAAATTCAATTTCAGCAAAAGTTTCAAATGGAACTTTCTGTAAGCTTTCCCTCTACATTATTCTCTTTTTGTTGTTTACTGTAAAGAAATATCTTACTTACTTCATTTACTTACTTACTTTACTTACTATTTATTCCTTTACTTTTTCCTTTCTCTTTCAAATAATAAGTTTCATACTTAAAAAAATATGAAAGAAACGAAGGAAAACAGTAAATAAAATGAGCGATTAGATGAACCAACGGAAAAACAATTGAAAAAATATTTGCCACCCACTTTTCCCTCTTTTTCTTTTCCCTCATTTCTCTGTCTCTCGTCCTTTTTCTCTTTTATCACCTTTTTTCCCTCTTTGTTCCTTTTTATATTATGCTTAAAAACAAAACAAAAAAAGGGAGACATTTTCAAAACTGTCCTTCTCACCTCTCTCTCTCTCTCTCTCTCTCACTCTCTTTAAAGATGAATTGAATAGGACATATCTAATCAATAGTTTGTCACAATAACAATCTTAACAGAATGTGGAGAAGAGAGGAAAAGGAAAGAGAAAGAAGAGAAGAGAGGTAAGAAGAGAGAAGAGAATTTTAGTTGTACTTTCTTTCTTTTCCCCTCCCTCTCCCACTCTTTCCATCCTTTCCTCTTTGTCTCTCCCTGAAAAGAGATAACAGAAATACTTTGTTCAATTTGTCGTCATCGACCGCAATACGATGAACGAATGCCCTTGCTGATAGAATTATTGATGTAAACATGTCATGAACAAAGGTACAGAGAGAGAGAGAGAGAGGAGACAAAGATGAATGAGTATTGATGTGAAATGTGAAGGTATTTTGAGAGGGACTGTGTCACCTGTCACCTGTCGGTGAGATACAAAATGATACGTTAAGGGGAAGAAGAGGGGAAGAAATTTAGCATATAAAAATTCTTTGTTGAATTACTGTATATGAAGAGAGGGAGAAGAAAATTAGTAGTAAATAATTGGAAACACAGATTAACTAATAAGATATTATATAATTTACTTAGCATAATTATTTTTCTTACAAATACAATTACTTCTTAACACTACTCATTGTCTTATTGTTTATTGTTTAGCCAACGAATCATTTAATTCTTTTTTATTCGTTACCTTTTGAGCACTTAATTTGATTATAATTATTAAATAAAAAATTAATATTTTTTTTATTAGTTGACAGATAAGTATAAAGTATAATAATTTTCCTTTATTAAACCATCATTTAAACTATCATTGTCTATCATTATCTTGCTATTCTTAATTATTATAATCCATTCCAAAGTAGCATTCATTAAGTTATCGTTGGTTGCTTCATTATAAAAATAAACGAAGCTTAATGATGATATAAACGAATTATTTGCTTCAGCATGCAAGAAATTTCAGAATTTAAACAATTCGAATTAGGTGACATTATCAGTTCACATCACGGTATGTACCTGTGATATGAACCTTTTCAATGGATTTATGGGAGTTACCCGGTAAACAATGCGATATACCCGCAATATAATAAATTTGAAAATATAAATATTCACTAACATTTATGAATAATCAATTTCATGGACGTATCTAGAACTAACGAATTGGATTAATGATTAAAATAACCACAAATTACTGAAAGTTGCTGAAATTACAGCATTTAAGGAAAATGAATCAAAGGTGATGGTAATTAATTTGTAATTTACAATAAATGGTCATCGCGTGAATGCCATAATAAAATTCGTAAGAGGAAATTTAACCAAGTATTTAATGTAATAAGATAATTAATGTACATTAAAGTGATAACATATTATATATGTGATAAAAATTCGTTTTTATCAATAATTTACAATAATTGAAATAATAGGTTGTAGTACCAATTTTATGAATGATTTGGAATATTTTCATTATAAATAAAAAATATTTCAAAGGATTTCTTGAAAAATACTTAAATAATTAAATGATTAAAAAATTTGAAAGGAAATGGAAAAATAGGAATACAAATTTTCTGCATGATTAGTTATTGTATTATGAGAAAATAAAAGGAAAAATGAGAGAAAATACCTCCGTTAATGATTAACGTGGAACATTCCTGATCAGGAAAAATTTTCCATTATTTTAATTAAAATGACTTATTGATGACTAACTGACATCAAGAATTGACTATTATCAACCATACGACCTAATTAATGACTTTTCAAAAATCATAGCTTATTATGCTTCCATTCAATTTCTGTTTATTTAATTTGAAATTAAACTTTAATTAATTTTAATTAATCAAATTTAATTAACTCCGAATAAATAAATACAAAAAAAAAAAAAAAAAAAACAAATACATACATGTGTTATCTCTTATTATTTTATTACTTATACCTCTGCTATCTTCAATATCAATAATATTGTTATTATCAATATCATAATCATTAATCATCCTTAGCATCATTACCATAACTTTTATTACTATTATTATTATGATTACCATAATAATCACAGAAATTTAAATATCATAATACAATATAGAAAGTAGTCATAAAAATTTATTATTACTATTGATAAAACGATAATAAATGAGAAATCATTTCAATACTCAAACAAACAACAATTATTTCATTAAAGAATTATCGTTTTCACAAGTTCTTCCACTTTTTTCCACGTTTTTCTTTTTTTGTGAGAGAAAAGTACTTTATTTCACGTTAAACAGTATACGGAAAACGTTTCACGTTAACAGTATACGGAAAACGTTTCATACGTTAAACGTGAGCATCCTTTAAACTTTCATTTTCTTTTTTTTCTTGTTCATATTTGAGCTCAACAAAAACGATTATAGCCAAAAAAATTACTAGAAGATAGCAGCGATACACAAAAGCACAATTGAAAGAACTTTCAATTATTTCCCGGAGAAAATTAAATTTAAAAAAAACATTTATTTCTTGTTTTCTTCCCTTTTTTCCATTCTGCAGGAGAAACAAACTGTTACAAAAGCAATACTAAAATTAAATAAAACTAAAGTAATTATAATATTTGAATAAAAAAAATCAGGAAAAAAGGAAACATTGAAACAATGGCTATGAATTGTAAATAGTTGAGGGAATCATAGTTAGCTGAAAGATTTAGCTGCAAATTTTACCATCTTCTTTTGAAGGAAATTGAATTTTATATAGCCAAGAAATTATTGAAAAACTTTTTTATTTAAAAAAAATGTCACTTTATGGTAAACTACAATTTAGATACTTGTAATTACGAAAAAGTTTTCTTGGAATCAATAAATTATATGATAAAGTTTGATTTTACAAATCAAATGACAATTCGATATTTGAAATTGGACAAGAATTGGCTAACCGATTATTATGCTTCCGATCTGAGAATCATTCAGACTTAATACTTGGCGGGCAAGAATAATTCAAGTTTCATTTTAAATTTGAAAAACTTCAATCTATCAAAATCAAGCAATTCATAATAAAATCAATTATAAAAATGTGAAAATAAATTTTAAAACAAACACTTTTTTCTTTTTTCTTCTTCAGATGTTTAAAATACAAATATTGAAGAAATTTTGTTTCCCTTTTTTTTCTTCAAAAATAAAAATAAACAATATTACAATAATATGTTGCTCACAGATCCAAAAATGAATAATCCAGAATTTGAAAAGCACAGAATCGATAATTTGGAACTTGAAAAACAAACATAAACAATTAATTAATGCATGTAATGAAAAAAAAAATTAGAAATAAAACGAAAAACATTTAATACATATAGTGTAAAAATAAAAAAAAAAAGGAAGAAAAATTGTACTTCAAATTAAAAATAAAAAAAAAAAAAGGAAAAAGAGATGAAACAGAATTATTACTGAATTCTTTCTTTTTTGTTTTAATAAAGACCACAACCCCTTAAATTATTGGCAATGATAACATCAGTGACAGCATCAAATACAAATTGAATATTGGTAGTATCGGTTGCACATGTCATGTGACAGTAAATTTCTTTGTTGGCCGATTTATTTTTCGCTTCAAACTGTGCTTGAATATATGCACTGGCTTCGTGATAATCTTGTCGACCTTGAAATATGCAAATCTGTACATATTTAAATTAAATTAATTGCATAAAAATTAGAAAATTAATTTAAAAATGAACATTTAATTTGAGGCATAGACTAAATAACAAAAAAAAAAAAAAAAGAAAAAAAGAGTGTGATATTTACACATTCATTTATATTAACAATAGGAGATAATTATATCAATTTTAACAAATTGAAAGAAATAGTATTGAAGGTAGAATAGAATTTGATTAACTAAAATATTGGAATAGAATTTGCTGCATTTAAAAAAAAATCATCGTAATTTTTAAATTTGAATTTCCTTGCCTTATTATATTTGTTCTCTACTAGCCCTAATATCCGATTTGCTCATTCATATCTCTAATATTACATTTACAAAACAATGAAAAGAAAAGAAAAGTACCCGAATATTCCGGAAAACATATTGTTAATGGTGATTTCTTAATTTTTTCCTCAAATAAATCTTTCTTATTCAAGAATAAAATGATTGATGTGTCGGTGAACCATTTATTATTGCAAATTGAATCGAATAATTTCAATGATTCATGCATTCGATTCTGTAAATAAATTATTGCAAATTGAAATGAAAGGAAATGATGTCATAAAATACATATGTAAAGTTTGAAAAAAAAAATAAAATAATAAGGTTAAAATTTAAGAGGAAAGAAAAATTAAAAAGCTTGATAATTTATAAATTGAAGTATGTCATACTAACAAATTTTTGATTTTTTATCACAATTTTGCTATTTTATTTTTATTCATTCGCTTTGGTTTTTTTTTTTCACCTCGTAACACTTCAAATTTCCTTGCGTTTTCACACTTTTTAAATTAAAAATTTGCCAAATAAAAATTCATTCATAACTTCCTTTAATTTTTCAAATTATTGAAATTTTCGGTTTTTTTTAACAGCGTAGAAAAAAAAGAAGAGAAAAATAAAAGTAATTGCGAAAAAATGTTCTAAAACTAAAATTATTCAAAATTAATGTTTTCCAAATGATTTCTGATTGAACGAATGCTAATTGTTTTATTTATGGGATTTATTTATCCATCAAATATTCATTTCAATAAATTTTTTACGACACATAATTCAATCATATTTTAATTTAAAATTTATTTGTCAAATTAATTATAATATTCCTTTTTTTCTCTTACACTTTTGCAAAAGTATATAATTTTCCACCATTTTGTATATTTTTTAAATTTTCATATCACAAATATAGTTATATGCAACGATTAATTATGTTCCAAATCTCTGCAAAAGTAATTTCATAAAAATTTTTATGAATAATTACCGTCGTTTCATCTTCATGCAATACTTGATCATACTCAGACATTGCAACACAAAATATAATTGCTGTGACATCCTCAAAGCAATGAATCCATTTCTTTCGCTCTGACCGCTGTCCACCAACATCAAATAATCTAAGAATAGGAAAATTTACAGACATTATCACTGATCTTATCAATTTCGCCACATAAATACTATCACTTATCATTTATTATTTATCAAAAATTATTCATTCATTGCTTACTAGTTCTATCCTACGTAAATATTATTAATTTTTAGTTTTTTCACATAATATTATTACTTATCATCTTTATTACATAAATACTATTCATTAGATTTATCACATGAATGTTATAAGTTATCAGTTTTTTTATCACATAAATAACGAAAAGAAGAAAAATTCAATTATATATCGACCTAATATAAACTAGCAATATATTAATAATTTATTATTTTATAATATTAAATTATCAATATACTGATATTTAATACATTACTAAATAATTGTCGCAACTATTATAATCTATTATTTTATGCTAATTAGTATAATTTATTATTTTATACATTATGATCGAAAAATTTTAGATATAATCTTTTATCAAAATTATCAAATTATAAAAAACATTTTTGCTAATTCAAATCTTTCCCAAAATAATTTATTTCAGATGAGAACATAAAAAAATGTGCAAAAATCAAATTAAATTGGAAGAAAAAAAGGTTAACTTACTTGAAATTGAGGTTTTTGAAAGTGAAATGCACCTCAACAATACCAGTGGTTTTGACCCGAGTTCGTAAAATATCTTGCTCGGTAGGTTGATAATTTGCTTGACCTAATCGATCCAAATCATCCAAAAAACTGAAAATATTAATATTTTTTTGCCTCTTTTCTTTATTTTTTGATTTTTAATTTAATTTCTTTTTAATTTCAGGTATTTCAAGTACTTTTCATTTAATATTCTTATTAATTTAAAAAGAAAAGAAGTATAAAACCAGTATCATCAAGGCTCAATATTTACATCTAAGATTAATTATATTAATTTAACTGAAATTTAAAAACCAATAATTTTCTAAAAAACCGCCCCTCACTTTTATTTATTTCCTTTTTTCATTAATGAAGTGAAATTATATTCAAATTTTCTTGTCCAGACAGAAAAATGTTTTCAATAAATCTTATGCATCTAATTTATGAGAGTTGCGTTGGATGACTTAATGTGTACCTTTGTATTCCACGTTTCTTTCACACCTCATTTCTCTTTTTTTTTTCATTTTTCAAATTTTAATGGCTTCATTCGACTACTTTTGCAATTGCTAAAAGATAGTACTTTTGGCTCAAATACTCTAAAATTAATCAAAATCAAAGTTAAGTTGCAACGAAGTCTTGTCTTCTATTATCTACATGTATATGGATATATATGTGTGATGCATGGACGTGTGCACGCAGATGTACGTGTATGCCAGTGACACGTAGAGCTTTGCACACGCAGACGCAAGGGGCACGTGAGATTGCGTGTCTGTGCAATATACGTGCAGGTATAGCAGTGTTTCAGTGTATGTGAACGTAGGATCGTGTCGGTGACTTACTATTTAGCAGAGTCATTAAGTTGATATTCGTTGGAACGGGCGAAACAATCGAGAACACCGCTATCGGCCCAAAGGCGCTTCATGGCGGACAATAAATCATCACTGAAAGGTTCGGTATCTTCCATCCTTGCTACGACATCCATTACTAACTTTGCATCGATCTGAGCAGAAATTTTATTTTAATTTTAAACTTTCTAACACTTAAATTTAAATTCAAATGTTAAACATTTATTGATTTTATCACCAAATCTGGCTCCTAATTTTGCAAAATATTTGAATTTTAAAATTCTAATAAAACTGAAATTCCAAATATCAATTTTTGTTCATTTCATATCTAAAGCATATACATTTCACCCTTATTTTTCTTCATTTTTATATTTGTTTTTATGTTATATTAATTCTTTATTAAATCTTCATTTTTATATTAATTCCGTTTTCCTAACATTCTCACAGATTTAAAACTAAAACGCAGCTTAATTTAAGTTCGAAATGTACAAACTCTATAAATCATTCATTATAATAACATTAATGAATATATTTTTCATTTTTATACTAATTTCGCTTTCTCAAATGAGTTTTTCTAAGAAATGATATAATGTCTGATATGATATAACGTCCTAAATGTTAAAGCAAATGAATTTCTTAACCAAAAACAGACAAATAAAGCATCGAAAAGGAAAACAAAGAAGAAATGATTATTTGAAAGAAAAAAGAAAATAAAGCAAATAGGAAAGCAAATTATAAAATTTAAAATTTTAAAATTTATTTAAGCTTAATTAAAAGTGTAGACTTATATTTCATTTTGGAAAAAAAAGAAAGATTAAATAATTAATCATATAATTTTCACAAAAAATGATATATAAAAAAATTCGTTTAATAATTTAAAAACTTTCTATTTCTTTTCTTTTGCTTCATTTTTCATTCATTGTCGTTTCATTTTATTTCTTTGGTCAAAGTTATTCTATCTTCCTGTTTACTCTTTTTTCTGGCTTATTGATTACTTTCAAGCTAAAAAAAGAACAACAAAAAAGGAAAGACAACCTAATTACTTGTCATCCTTATTGAGATGTTTGTACATTCTGTGATACATAGAATAAACTTCATTTCTTGAAAAAAGAGGAAAAAAAAAATTTAATTTATGAATGTTTCCTATCGTTTATCGTCTTTAAAAATTAATTAATTAATTAATGGTTGATTTTAATTAACAAAAAAATGAAAAATGACAATAGTAAAGTGAGAAAATTGATTGAAAAAGCAAAAAAAGATTTACTTTTCATTACTTTGCTTGCATTTTACAAATTTCATATAATTAATCTCTCTCTTTCTCTTTGTCCTTTTTTTCTTTTCTTGTCAATTTATCATTTTTCATTCATTTCCACTTTTGATTCTTTTTTCTCTGTCCGATCCTCTCAAATCTTTTTTCCTTTTCCACGAAATGCAAACAAGGATCGAATTCCTTAAAGGAAAAATTAAAATCATTCATTCCCATTGATTCATTCTCATTCATTCATTCCCATTCATTCATTCCCATTCATTCATTCCCATTCATTCATTCATTCATTCATTCATTCATTCATTCATTCAATCATTCATCCATTCATTCAAGAAAAATGAAATTATTCAAGAGTTAATTGACTGATTATACATCCTTTTTCATCTAATCTATCTTATATTCCATTTTTAGGGAAAAGGAAAATATTGAAATTGCAAAAGGAAATATTTATATATTATATCGAAAAAAAAGTCAAAAAAGAAAAAATTGATAAAAATGATAGATACGAAGAAAGAAATCGTTGATAGCAACAATTATATGCACAGTTTGAGTTCAATTATTTAAAAAAAAACCCAAAAAAAGTGAAAAACTGACTCATTAATTAATTGATTTGCTTTGCATCACTCATGGAAATTAGTAAAATATTTATTTTTCTTTCCTGTTAATTATGTTTTTCACTTATTATAATTATAAAAAAAATAGAAAAAAACAGATTTTTTTTTTTAAAAAAAAGAAATATTATGTTAATGATAAAGAAAAGAAATTATTTGTCGACGATCAGTAGAATATTTAGTTTTGATGAAATAATTAATGACAGCTAAGGATAAAATGAAATGCAAGCAAGTTTAATTTAGTCAACAGAATAGCAAACTTTTTGCAACTTAAACATTACTATGAATTTAATTAAACGATTTTGAATTCAAAAACAAAAAAATTAATAAATTTTAGCAATATTATTCAGTTTTGTGCTAGCATAATTGATAGTGATGAATCGAATTAATAAAATAAGAAATTTCAATAATGACATTAACTTTTAAATAATAAAAAAATTATTCCCTTATTGCTACATATACTTTTACATTCTTATTTTTATTCGAAAAACATAATAATAATAATAATAATAATAATAATAATAATAATTAGTAGTAACGATATAACAGCCACATACTTTTCAATAAATAAACAAAGTTTATTTATGTTAAATAAAATGAATGAAACAAAAAAAAAACTTATACCTCTCGACTACGATCACCGAATGGTACTAATAAATTACCCATGGCACGAAGTATTGCTACTAATGATTGTACCGTATTACTATATACCACCGGTTTATACTGTTTATAATCTTCGGCTGTGAAACCTGATTCATGAATAATCCTGCAAAATATTCAGGAAATTATATGATGAGTATATATTTTTATATTTGCTTATGTTCTTATATTAATAATAATACATTATCAAATAAGCAATATTACAAGTAATATCAATGATTATCAAATATTATTTATATCAGTAATAATACATCAATAAATATTACTTATATTAATAATAATACATTATTAAATATTATTTGCATTAATAATAACACATCCAACATAAGTTATATTAATAATTACTTATTATTATTATTATTATTATTATTATTATTATCAATTATTATCATAACTTATCAACTTATTATCAATAGTAATAATAATTTATTATCAAGTATTAGAATAATTTTGATAAATTATAATTTACTTCATACGACGATAATTTGCATTGCTAACAGTAAATAAAATAAGATTGAAGCATAGGCTTTTCTTTTAATATATATAAAAAATATTCGATAACCAAATTTAAATTAAACAAACTAGCATTTTAAAATTTTTTGCTTTTCTCAAAAACGCAACTATTTATTTATGCAAGCATAAATGTTTTTCCTAATATGCAAATGATTAAATAACTGATAACTTCAATTAGAGAAGCAAGAATTACTGATATAAAACATGTTGTAAAGGTCAAAGTTCAAAAAGGAAAATTTTTTTTTATTTTCAAATAACAAGCTTCAACCAATTAAAAAGTTAGTACATAAACTCTGTTAAATTAACAAAATGTCTATTCCAGAAAAGATCATACTTCATTTGCTTAACAATTGTTGATTTACCAGATTCACCAGCACCTAAAACAATATTTCTTTTTTTCTTTTCTCAAATAAAAGCAAATTTTGTTTTTCAATCGTCCATAATTAATTCAATCATAAATAACAAATATAATAACTGATCGAACTAATAATTAATTAAAAATTGAAATAAACAAGTCAGAAGCAATCATTTTCAATAATAATTAGTGAAGCTAGTCATGATAAATTTTAATTAATTAAGTGAATAAAAATTAATAATTATAACAGATAAATGATATAATCAATTAAACAAACGCAGCAAAACAACAACAAACCTAAAAGTAATAATTTGATATCTTTGGCAGCCTGTAAACCATCCTCTTTTAAATTTTTTTCAATCATTCGAGATCGTTCGAGAGCAGCCCGTTCCTCTTGGCTCATTGTGCAACCCATTGTTGCGTGTTGAAAGTTTTATTTATTCCAACAACAATTCCTTTCCTTTTCTTTTCGTTAAATCACTTCAAAATAAAAAAAAAAAAAGTTGGCACTTAAAGAAATTAATAAATTTTACATACACATCTATTTAGCTAGAAAGAAAAGAAAGATGATAAGAAATTAAATTTAAAAGCAGAAAAAATTTTGTTTAAATTAATTAACTGATCAACTGATCAAAAAACATGTAAGCTTTATCCGATCACTGACTGTTTTTTAATATGTTTCTTTTTGTTTGTTTCAAGTAAAATTTGAAAAATGGATAAAATTTCGAGAACATATTTGAATATTTTACAACAAAAATGAAATGGTATTTAAAAAAAAGATAGAAAATAAAATTTCGCTTTTTTTGAAAAAATGTATTGAAAACATTCAAAATATTACTAAATTTGAGGTGTTACTTGTGTTATAAGTTTGAATTGCTGAATACATTAAAAATGAGTTTCTTTTGCATTATTTATAATATAAAGAAATAGAAAAGTAAAGTAAACAACTTATTACAGGAGTTGTTGTTTACAGTGCTTACGATATTTATAAAAAAGCATTTTTTATTTTTTCAGCTTTATAATTTTTAAAAGTTTCGAAAAACACGTGAAATGACTGATTCAAAAGTGAAAATCCTTAATTATATAAAGTTTCAGGTAAATCACAAATGTGTAAGTGGTTATTTTGGATAAGAAACTTTTAATTAAACACTATGAAAATCTCAGGTATAATTAACTTTCAATTTAATTAGACAGTTATGAATGTTTGAAAAGGTTAGGATAAATAATGTGGATTAGAATATATTTGTCAAAAAATTTTTCAAAAAAAGGACAATGAAATACTCTTTTAGAGTACTTTTTTTGGTAAATTTTATTTCTAAAATTAAATCCAATTTTCTTTTTTTCAATTTACATAGAAATTATTATTTATATATATCATATTTTCAGTAAATCTTTTTTTTTTCACAAATATAAAAAAAAAAGTGAAACTTTAATTTATTTTTCTCTACTTTTAATCAATTGAAATTGTCAAATATTTTATTGCAAAAAAAGTTATTTATTTCGATCAATGATTATAATTTTTTTCTTTTCATTTTATAAAAAAAAATAAAAGGATAAAAAGCAAACAAAACAAAATTCCATTTATATCACTTAGTGAAAAATTAAATCGAAAGTAAATCAACTAAAAATTATAAATCAGTCTAAGCACTAAGCACTAAGCATTAAGCATTAAGCATTAAGCATTAAGCATTAGACCGAAACATTGTTGATACCATTTTTGCATTTCTTTCACTTCGTACCAAAGCAAACAAATAAGCAATATGTTGTGCTGGGGAAATTCCCCAGATATTCCCATTTATGCTTTGCACTTGTCTTTTCCATTAAAATTTTTTACATAAGAAAGTTTTCAATAAGCTTAGGCTGTTTTTAAAGTTAATAAAAGAAAAGCTCAAGAAATGAGTTAATGTAAAAGAAAACAAAAAGTGTAAGAAGGGAGTAATTATATAAAATGATAATTTATATAAATTAAATAATTTGATTTTATTTAGAAATGAAAAATATTGACAACCGGATTAATTGCTAAGAAAAATGAATGATAAATTTTTGAATTTTTAAAATAATTCAAGAATTATATAAATTTGAAGTATTTGATGGAAGATAATAATTTAATAAAGGTTGAAATTACAATGAACTGCATGTAGAAATAAATATTTTATTAAAAAATTCATTGAAAATAATTTTATATGGGAAATATCAAGAAATAAAATTAATGTATGATGAAAATTATTTATAGTTTGTTAATTTTCTATCCAATTTTAAATAAAATAATTATTGAAAATTTTTCTTAATTGCTAAGAAATTATTTTGAATACCTCATTAATTGAAAAGTAATTGTATTAGTTGAATGTATTATCTTAATTAACGTTAATAAATGTTCGAATTTTTAATATATATCTTATTTTCATGATTATTTAAAGAAAAAGCTTACCAAACAAGTAAAACTGATATGTATAAATTATCGTTCCTCAATTCCACTTTTTCTTTCTTTCCGTCCCAAAAGATCGAATTTATTTGTCAACAACACAATAAAATAGGATGAAAATACCAAATTTGTCAGGAATAAGCAGCTTTTTTTGTGTTTTTTTTTTTTTGTTTTGTATAATAGTATGAATATGAACGAATACAAATAGTAATTGTTACAGTATTTTCTTATTGTTATTGTTGTTGTTATTATAAGACAATTTCACTTTTAGTGTAATCTCGACAAAATTGTCGATGTTAGCTTCTGCAGTTGCAATAATTGTCCAAACAATAATATTATTTTTCCTCCCAGAATTGTGCTGAAATGAAAATTTAGTAAATATTAGAAAAATTTTTTTTGAAAAAAAAATGAAAGAAAAAACTCTTTCGAAGAATTGAAAATTCAATTTTTACATGTTAAACATGCAAAATTATTTTCAATTTCAGCAAAATAATGAATGACATCAGTAAATAATTAATGTTTGTTACGCAAATATACAATAAATTTATAAAACAACTAATTTATTTCTAAATTAACAAATTAATTTATTTATGAACAAAACAAGAAAGATGGAAAAAAAATTAAATGAAATGAAATTTTTATTGAAATGAAATTATCTGAGATGAATTTTTAGAAGCAAAAATTTTAGTGTAATCAAAAAATTTTTTTAATTGCAGTTAAAAGAGTAATAAAATCGAAATTTACGAATTATATAGGAGCATAATGTAGGAATAAATTAACGAAAAGATAAGCGGAAGCAATCATAAGTTCAATTCGTTTAATTTATTACATAATGGAAGGAATAAATTAATGAAGTAAAATTCAAAATTTGAAAAAATGAAGAAACAAATAAAAAGTATGAAATTTTTATGTAAAAAAAAGGAAAAAAGGAGGATAACGTAACAAAGAGCATAAAAACAAAAATTAAAAAAAACGTGATAAAAGATAACAGTAAGATAAAGATGAAAGATAAAAAGATAAGAAATGAAATTAGAATTTACATTTTCTTAATCAGTGTGTATTAATAATACTTTTAATAACTTTTGATTTCCAAGGGATTAAGGAGAAAAAAATGGGGAAAAAGGAAAACAAAATAAATTTGACTTTTTCCGTTCCCGATATTTAGTAAATTTTTTCCGGATACAACGATTTAGTTATGTCATATATGACCCACCCTTAATATACCTTTAAGACAAAGTATGAGATAATGATACTTTGATCTTTCTCCGATCATTTTCATAAACAAAATTGTCACACTTGTTGTGTCACTTATCAGTTCATTTCTTTTAACTAATCTCGCTTGCTGAATAATTAATTTTTTTTAAAATCGATTCAAATTTTGTTTATTTAAATATGATTAAATTAACATAACAACACGAAATGAAAAATCAAATCTAAAAAGAAAAATCGAATAATTATTTTAGAAATTAATATGTCACCTAAAATATAAGAAAAATCAGTGAAATTTCGTAAACAATATTTCTATCCTGAATATGCTGTAATATAAAATCAGTTATTGAAGTCTAACTTAAGAATGATTTGTGAAACAGAAGTAACATAGTGACAAGAAATGACAATTGATGATTGACTTGTTTAAATAGACCTATCTAGTAGTATCACAAATGTTTTGGGCATTTCTGGCATATATTTACGATAATAAAAACCAAAGAAAGGTAAATGAGGAAATTACTTCACTTACAAAAACTCATTGCAATTACTGATAACTTCTCAGTTCAATCATCATCATTATCACTATTATCAGCGTATGTGAATTTAACACATTTTTATGATTATGCATCAAAAGTCGGTAATCCAAAAAAATATCACTAATCTTATCAAAGAACATCCCCAATGACTTCCTAGTTTAATCATTATTATTACTATTACTGCTATATTATTATTTTATCACTATTATTATTGCTCCTATTCACCACTGTTGTCATTATTACTATCATTATCATCGTCATTATCATCAGTATCTTACCAGGCATATATTTATGAGAATATATCAACATTCGACACACTACGGTAAAAGAAGAACTTAAAATAATTATAGTTTTTATTATTGCTAATATTCTTGAATATTTCGCATTTATATATTTATTATTTCTATCAAAAAGGGTGAGAATAAGAAATAGTCAATTTTATAATGAACAATAAATGCTTGGGAAAAGAAAGGAAAATGAATGAGAAGGAAGAAGAAGAAGAATGGATAAAGTGAAAAATTCATCTTTACAAATTGTTTTAGCCAACAATCCACTCTCGATCTCGTCTTCTTTTTCTCTCTCTCTCTCTCTCCCTCTCTCTTTCTCGGTTAAACAATATGAATCAGTTAGATTAGTTTAAAATTGTATTACTTCATTTTATTATCAAAGAAGTATGTGCACACACACATATATATATATACATTTATCATTCCACTTAAAATTACATCATTAAGTAATCTTCTGTCATCCATACATATATTTTGCTATTTTAGATGAAATTATTTAAATAAATTTGATATGCTATGCGAAAAATAGAAATAATTAGCCATAAAATTTCTAAATTATCTTAAAACATTCAATACATGGCGATTTTTAATGATTGAAAGATAAGTTAGATTAGATTAAAATTTAATAATAAAGTCCAATTGAGCTGAATAATTTTAAGTGATAATAATTACTTATAAATTCTCATTGATATGTTATAATTGTTTAACAATATAAAAGGCAAATCTTTTTTCCTTTTCTTTTTTTTTTGTTTGACTTCAAAATTTCAGCAATATATTCACACTTGTAGATTGATATATTGTAGAACAATGGAAGATGAAATGATCAAGTGGATTAAGAGATTGAATTGAAATAAATTTTTCTCATAAAATGACGTTTCTTATCAATGAGAGGAAAAAGAGAGAAACGAAAATGAATGAAATGAAATGAAATGAAATGAAATGACGAAAGAGAAATAAAATA